CACATTGGCATTAATTACTTTTTAAACATATTTTGTTTTTAAAGCAAGCATTTTTTGTGTGTGTGTATGTGTGTGTGAGAGAACGAGAGAGAGAGAGAGATTAGGTTTATATTACATTGTAGGGACCAAATTTATTTTTATTTTTTTTGACGTTATGGGGACCATTTTTCAGGTTCCCAGAAATATCTGTGTATGCAATCAAAAAAGTAAAAATGCCAAATGTGTCGTATTTTGTTTGGTTAATGTTAGGACTGGGTAGGGGTTACGGTCATCATGTTGTGATGAGAGTTTTCCTCATAGAAATGAATGGAGAGTCATCACAATGATATAATTACAAACCACAAACCTGTGTGTGTGGGTGTCTGTCTGACCGTGTCTGTGCCTGTGTGTGTTCTTTGGACTCCATGTTCTGAAATACCTCAGAAATCACCTGTATTCTGCAGTTTTGTGCGGGCTTATGATGTGGGTCATATCATGTCCTTTGTCCTCTTTGAAAAATGCAGTACCGTGATACCACGTCACTAATCGAGCACCTGTTGACAGTGCTCTGACTCAATGTCACTGAGCAATGTCAAATTTACAGGCAGCAATTGACAACAGCCCAATGGTGTTTGGGGGAGGGGGCACCAGGGCTCCAGTCATATTTTTTGTGGTGGTGGCTGGGGTGGGCAGACCAGTGTCACCACTTTAGACACACCTCTGCCACAAACATAGAGTCCAAGCTGGGAATTTAATCAGGATCTCCAAAAATGTGATGTGAACACACAAACCACAGTGACAAGGTGTGGGAAGGATGGAGGCAAAGGCAGATACCAGTGAAAAGCAAGAGGGGCTTTATTCAAATGAAAGCAAAACACAAAGGGCAAAAGGAAGTGGACCGCAAGGGGTCAAAACTAGGCAAGGAGACTGGGGTAAGCAATAGGGTACATGCAGTCAGGAGCAGAACATGGCTACATAATATTACAATGCTTGGACTGGGGAGCTCAGGACGAGGAGGCACTATATACACCACAGATGAGGGAGCAGATGAGAGGCACCTGGGATCATCCACACGAGGGCTGAAATGAGAGGCAGGATTAAACGAGGGACATGTGTGGCTCGTTAGTGCCATACCACAGGGGACACGGGGGGAAATGGCATGTAGGGTGCGACACACAGCACCAATGTGCCACCACATTTATGCTATACAGCAATTAATAATAAATGGCCAAACTGGTTCAAGCTGATAGAGAGGCAACAGTAACTCAAATAATCACTCGTTATAACTAAGTATGCAGAACTGTATCTCTGAACCACGATACATCAACCCTTGAAGCAGATGGGCTACAGCAGCAGAAGACCACACTGGGGGCCACTCCTGTCAGCTGAGAACAGGAAACTGAGGCTACAGGGGGCATAGGCTCACCAAAATTGGAAAATGGAATTTTGGGATTTGGGGTAAATAACATGAAAACATGGATTCATCCTGCCTTGTATCAAGAGTGTGTATATACATTCACTGGTTGGAAGTGCCAAGGGGAAAGAGGGCTTGATAACCCAACACACATTGGAAGGTCAATAAGTGGTGAGACCATTGGGCCAGAGAGTTCTGAGCGTACTCCGCTCAGGGGAGGTGGTGAGCCCAGTCGGTGGGTTTTGAGGAACATGGGATAAGGAGGGTCTTAACCACTTCCTGGTTTGTCTGTTCAGTCAGGCCATTGGTCTGTGGGTGATAGCTGGAAGAGAGGCTGATAGGGATGTTAAGCTGGGCACTTAAAGGCCCGTAACACTTGTGTAAGCTGGGGCCCCCAGTCTGGTACAGTATTGTCAGGTATATCACAGCACCTGAAGACCCACTGGAATAAGAATTTGCCTGTTTCCCAAACAGTTTGGTCGCTTGGCAGGGGTACTAACTGACACCATTTAGAAAAGTGGTCAAATATTGCCATGACAACAGTATTACCCTGGGACGTCAGAAGGTTAGTAATGAAGTCAGACACATAGGACCAGGAACGTACTTTTCTTGCAAACTCCAGCCTGGCACTTCCTTGCTTCTCATTGATGGAGTGCAGGTGTGGACAAATTTGTTGGTACCCTTCCATAAAAAAACACAACTCTCTGAAATAATTTGAAACTGACAAAAATTTAATGGCATCCTGTGTTGTTTATTCCATATTTAACACAAATCAGCTCTTGTTTTTGATTATTGATTCAGCTGAATATTTCATATAATTAAACAAATGAAAACGGCACAGACAAAAAAGATGGTACCCGTAATTTAATATTTTGTGGCACCACCTTCAGCTTGCAGCAATCACTGCCAACAAGCGATCTCTGTACTTCACAATGAGATATCTGCATTTGCCAACAGGTAGTTTGGCCCACTCTTGCTGAGCAAACTGCTCAAGCTGTCTCAGGTTTGAAGGGTGGCATCTCCACACTGCATTTTTCAGATCTTTCCATGAATGTTCAATAGGATTGAGATCTGGGCTCATGGAGGGCCATTTAAGAATAGCACAATGTTTTTTACTCAGCCATTCTTGAATGCTTTTAGCTGTATGTTTTGGTCATTATACTGTTGCAGGACCCATGATCTGCGACTGAGGCTGAGCTTTCTGACACTGGCCAGTATGTTTCGCTCCAGAATGCCTTGGTAGTCTTGAGACTTCATTGTGTTCTGCACAGATTCAAGGTTCCCTGTGCCAGATGCAGCAAAGCAGCCCCAAAACAAAACCAAAACCCCTCATTGTTTCACAGTAGATATGGTGTTCTTTTCTTTTAAAGCTTAATTTTTCCTTTTGTAAACATAGAATTTATGTGACTAGCCAAAAAGGTCCAGTTTTGTCTCATCAGTCCAAAGGACATTCTCCCTGAAACTTTGGAGCATGTCAACATGCATTTTGGCGAATTCCACTCTGGCTATTTTATGTTTTTCTGTCAATAATGGAGTCCTCCAGGGTCTTCTTCCATGGAGCCCATTACTGTTCAAAATGTGATGGATGGTGTGATCAGAAAGTGATGTACCTTGACCTTGGAGCTCAGCTTGAATGGTTTTGGATGGTTTCCTTGGCTCTTTTTCTACCATCCACACTATCCTTCTGATCAACCTGGGGTTGCATTTGCTCTTGCTCCACATCCTAGGAGGTTGGCCACAGACCCATGAACCTTATACTTCTTAATAATATTGGCAGCTGTGGTCACATGAACATGAAGCTGCTTGGACATGGTCTTATAGCCTTTAGCTTTATCTAAGTTTATCTATAATCTTCTTTCTGAGTTCCTCAGACAACTCTCTCCTTTGCTTTCTCTGGTCCGTGTTCAGTGTGGTGACACAGTGATACCAAACAATGTTCTTTCGCTTTAAATAGGCTGAATGGTTGGTGAAAAGCTGAAGGCACCTGGAATACTAATTAAGGTTAAACACTTAATATATAATGCAAGACTATAATGCAACAATAAATGGTCTCTTTAGGGGTGCCAACACATCTGTCCATACTATTTTAGCATATCTTTGTAAAATAAACAACAGATCATTTCTTTTCACAATGTTATCGGTTTACTCTATCACATACTAAATGCATGCAGGTGTACATTATACAATAGCTTTTAACTGCCCAAACAACATTAACTGGGTATTGGGAATATATGGGCTGGCTCTGGTTCTGTGATTTGTTGTGTGTGTGTGTGTGTGTGTGTGTATATTATATACTGTATATTTACATACACATATATACAGACAAGGACAAATTTGTTGGTACCCTTTCAGCTCAAGGAAACAATGCTTCATTTCTCCTAAAAAAAATTATTCAATTAACGCTGTTTATGTGTGTATAAATTAGAGTACTCAGCAGCTGTAAGTAATTGCCTGGTGTGTTAGTCAGGTTTCTTTGGTGCAAGGTATTGTGCGTTTGCTCCTTACCAAGCAGGATTCTAGCAATCTTATTTCTATTCTGATCTACCCATATATACTGACCCTTTAACTCTGCCTCCTGACTTAGATTCTTGGATTATGATTTTGGCTGTGTCTTTGTCCCACTTTGGTTTTCGACTTAAGGCTTTCTCTGAGTTAACAAAAAAAAATGTGTTTTGAATACATGTGTTTTGAATAAAGCATAGATCGTTCAGTGTACAGATCCCCACCACATTCTTTGTAATGATATAATATCTGTACAAGTGTGGAAGCTGCGTCTAAACCTCTCCTAAAGTCACACCAGTATTTGCAGTAACTATCTAATACACCAATGTTTGATTACCATGTTTCGGTAATCAATACTTCATTTAAGTTAATTACTTAATTAGTTTAGTTGGTTAATTAATTAGTTATCTAGAGTAAATACACAGTTACTACCTAGATTATTAACCTTAACAACTTTAAACATTTAAAAATAAATGATCACCTCAAGGGTACTGCTGTCTGTCTCTCTTGTATATTCAGTGGAAAATAAAATAATAATAATAATAATAATCTTTTTTTTTTCATTTTTAGTATATCACGAGCGGATGCAAGCAGATAAAGACCAAAATCTGGTCTGTGGATTGGGCAGGTTGTGAAGAAAATGTTTCTTTGTGATTGAACATTTTACTCACTGAGTGCTGCACTTCCATGACAGACAGTATTTGAATAGATAAGTGAGTGAGTGCTGTCTTATTATGAACATAACCTTGTCAGAAATACAGAGCTTTTTCAAATGATATTTACATATAGAAAGTACTGTTTGAGGAAATGCTTTCCCATCTTTATATTGTAACTCAAGGTTTGTTGTCAAATATGATTTGTTACACCGCTGTGGTTACTAAGTTGCCAAACAAGTAACATACTAAGAGCTAGAGGCCTATGGATGTGCCTGATCAGTGTTATAGCTGGACAAGACCTTGAGACAAAACAGAAACATACACCAGATTGAGAAGTTTATCACTGCATATTTCTCTCTGATATCATTGGATAATTATTTTAAATAAGCTTCAGTTCAGCATGTTAAATAAGAAAACAATCTGGCTTCCACAAACACCATTTATCTTTACTGGTTTACTGGTGTGAATTTTATTTCATTCTAGTCTGACTTGTTGGTTACAATATACTTTGCAGTAGAACAAATATGAGCTTCTTCTATATCCTTTACTGTTAAATCAAATTAATAGAAAAAAACTGAGTTCAGTTTCAGTTTCACTTAAACATCTAAATAGCGATAGCTGTGCAGTGGCGAAGGCGGTAGCTGCTCCAGGGTGGTGAGATGGACTTCCACATGTATTTTGCATGTTTTATTGTTGGTCTGGTTTCGTCTTGGTACTCTGGCTTCCTCCTGTAGTACAAAAATGTGATGAGGTGAATAGAATGTCTCTGAATTGCCCTTAATATAAGATTTAGAGTGTGTTGCCCGATATAGATTGCCATACTACCCAGGGTACCCCTGCTTAGTGCCCCCTGTTTTCAGGATATGCTTCAGACACACCAAGAGCCTGTATTGGTTAAGTGGCACAAAAAAAATAAACACAAAATAACAAATTGAAACGAATCCTGAGCCTTTAATCAGGTTTCTTTAAGGTTGAGAGGGAGTCCGATGGCCGGATGTGGTTTGGCAGCTCATTCCACCATCAGGAACCCAAAAATGAGACCCACTCCATTCCATAAAGAGACACTCTGATATTGTAGGAGAAAAAAAAACTAAAGGTAATGACCGAAAACTAAAAATGTCTCGGTGATAATGTGCTGTCAGTGCCTTCTGACAGGAGATTCAGTTCCAGTTCCAGTTCTGTTTCAATGACATAGGAGATATGTCAGGAATTTCTTTATTCCCATATTGTTTTCACTTTCAGTCAATTAACTTTAATTGCTTTAATGAAGTCCCACATATTAACAGCCATCTGCATTTTTATATAATTAAATATGAATAAGGCAATTATCCAAGAATATGAGGTGTGGTTAAATCCAATTGATTGGGTGAATTTCTCATCCCCTTCTGCTCAGCCAGGACTCATTAATGAACTTCAAGTTATTGCATAAAATTCAATGTAGACCTTATGCTTTAGATGTAAATAGCGGTTTGCTTACGTAACCCTCAGTCTGAGGACTTATTCTAACAGCATTACCAGTATAAAGCTTAAACCTAATTAGGAAACCTTTTACTATTGTCAGAAATGGGAGTTTACTTCAGGAGAACTTAGGCTATAAGGGCATCCAGCCAAACAAGCCTGTCTGTAATGGCCATGCTTAGGTTTCGAAACTGAGCCTGCAGGGTACATATGACTGATCTTCTCCACATATTCCAGGGACTATCTAAAGCACAATGAAGTGCCCCTTTGTCCAGTATGATTACCTGTTTAATAAAATGGCTGCTGACTGTATCTGAAGTATGGACCTGATTCACTGAAAGACCTGAAATCACTGCAAATCCATTCTGTTCTCTGGGAGAAAAAGAAAAAAAAGTAAGTTATAAGTTATCTAATTAGCTCTGTTGTGAATTGCTGGTGCATTAACACCACATATTTTAGTTGAATTGACAAAGGCATGTAATGTTTTCTGACTGCTATTGTTCCCCCTGCTGCCTCAGTGAATAATGGAAGAAGCAAACAGATTAATGAAGTAAACCCTTCCACATCATGAGGCCACTGCATGGTGTGCAAGGGTTTGAGTGTTTTGACTTACAGTATCATAGATTTTCTGTAAGATTTCTCAAATGAGTGTGAGTCAAGAAGCGTGTCATGCCAGATGTGTGACAATTGGCTACCCTGACAATGTCACTGACAATGACAGTGGGCAGTGGTGGCTTAATGGTTAGGAAAGCACACTTGTAGTTAAAGGAGCGTAGGTTCAAATCCCCGACCAGCAAGGCACCACTGAGGTACCGCCCCCAAGCACTGCTCCCTGGGTGCTGAATTAGCTGCCCCCTGCTACAGTATGTCATGACATCACATATGGGTTAAATGCAGAGGGCACATTCTGTTCTGGTGTGCTGTGGTGTGTCATCACTAAATTCTATTTAGTGCGTGTCCCTGACTGTCCTGTAATTTGCTGACTTCCCTGGCTGTGCTGCTGCTGCTATTAAACTGATAGTGGCTGCTAATAAAGTTAGTAACAGCTATTTTAAAATAGCTGTCATATCATTTATTAATATAGCACAACCTGTGCTGCATTGAAAACATACTGCGCCCCCCCCCCCCCCCCCAAAAAAAATAATACATTTGTTTTCGGGAATGTTTGCTGTGTGATGCACTTAATTGTAATCTGATTGCTGGTTAACTTCTTATATTTTGTTGTCAAATAAAATTGTTTTGCTTTTTAAAGGTAATATTTGATATTCTAAAATTTTTTTCCCAAAAATAGTTCCTGAAAAGCGGAGGTTCATCTTATACTCGGGGTAATCTTATAATCAAGTCAATACGGTGCTATTGGCAAATAGGTGGCATTGGAAAATATAGCATATGTAAACTACACAGTTTAGCTCGATTTAATAGTATATTTCATACTTTCGAATGGCCTGTTCTGTCACCTAAGTCTCCAAATTAGTTACTCACCTGAAGGGTTAGAAACGTCATGGCTTTTTCCGACAGCAGTTTTTTCCAAAAGCTGTTTTTATGATAGTTCAGGACCCCTGTATAACAGGAAACCACAGTTTAGCTTGATTCAATAGCATATTTAAAACTTTCCAACAGCCTGTTGTGTCACCCTAAGTCCCAAGATTAGTACTGTTGCTCCTGTTAGTAAGAGCTAGGGCAGAATACAGTATTTTTGCAAGGTGCCTGTACATGCTTTTTAAACAGAAATTATAGTACACACTAAGTCAACAGCAATGCTGCAGTTTTGTTGAAATGTCTCAGAACAGGGCAACTTCCATTCTTTGCAAGAGAAGTATGCATTTACATTTACTTCACATTTACTTCACATTTACAATTTTGCCAGATACTTTTATCCAAAGCAACACACAATTAAGAAAGCATGGACAGCCAGTTCCTGTTAGCAATTAGGTTTAAAGTCCTTGGTCAACGGTGAGATCACTCTGCTGACCATGGGAATTCAGCTGAATGCCTTCCGATGACAGTCACATGTTCTAACCCAGAGAGTGACACGCCTCCCCCAGTTTGCATGCCACTGACTGTATGGAAACTCCTAAAGAAGGCACTCATTCAACAGCCTGGGTATAATGCATAGTCAATTAATAATCAATCATTCAGTGAATTAATTGATTAAATAATGTCAATTAATGTCCCTTGCACAACTATGTCTGACAGCTGAGATTTTTTCATGGGATGATTTGACCACTTATTGAATGCTTTTAATAAATGGGAAGAATGTTTACTGCATTTAGCAGACACTCTTATCCAGAGCAGCTTCCATTTTTCTAAATTCAGGGACAGTCCCCCTGGAGCAAATCAGGGTTACAGGTCTTGCTCAGAGACCCAATGATGGTAGTGCCAGAAGTGGGACTCAAACCCTTACTCTCTTGGCGCAGAGGGAAGCATCCTAACCAGTAGACCACCAACACCAACATGTTAGATCATATATTATGGCCTTCACTCTTTAAGAGTTTGATTTTTGGAAACATTTATTTTGACAACTTAACAAAGAGCACTTGAGATGCAGATGAGCTTTTCATAGAAAGAAGCAATTTTTTTCCCATCTTGACTAATCTAAAATGTATGCAAGGCTGTTAGACATCCCATAAGACTCCTTCTTTGCCGCCCAACAGAACACCATGGAAGTGGCTAACTACGTGCTCATTTTTAAGATAGATTTTCTTATTATTAAAATAAGGCAAACAAAAGACGGCAAGTATAGCATGAAGTTGGCTGGGTCTTTCATTTCACTCCATTAACTTTGTTTATTCTCCCTCCCTGAAGACTCCCCAAGAGGCCACATCAGAGCTGCTCAGAATGCAGGCAATCAGTTCTGAGTATGCGCATAATTCAATTAGTGCCTGTGCCTGACTTTGAAACTCCATTTATGTTTCTCATCAGACTATCAAGGACTAGCACAAAGACATTCTTTTATATATGAAAACTGAAAATTATGAAAAATTATATTTTTTCTTATTTTATATAACAGTTATTTTAATGAGATGTAAAAGTGTTAATAAGTGATTTGGCCAGTTGATTAAAATTAATTTGAGCATTTTTGTCCAAGTAACCCAGAAAAATGAGCACCAATCAAACAAGCCAAGAGAAAAAAAAATATTCGTCTTAATGAGCATCATTATGATTTTGAACGATAACGAGAACATTGCAAGCATCTGTATATACGTATGCTCTACACCTTAGTGTATGAATGTTTAAGAGCATAATGAATTTGCCATAAGCTCTCAGCGGGTTTTGACAGCATGATGCATTTTAAAAAGGATGGAATGACATAGTATTCATGCAGTTACAGCAAAATGATAAAAAAAGAAACAGTTTATATTCATTTATGCTACTATGTGGAAAAGGTCACCATAAATCACAAATCACTTGAGCAAGACTGGCACAGTGTCCATCACGCTTTGTCCCTCTCAGCAGGACTGATCTTGATTAAACGTAAGGTCTTTGGTGAGTTGCAGGCGAATAGAAAAATTAGGAAGGGAGGTGGGATAGCACACTGTCCTGTAGATTTGAAAATGCACAGTGTGTGTCTGTGTGTAGATTTGGCTTATATTACATTGTGGGGACCAAATGTCCCCCACAATTTAATAAAGACCTGTTTTTTTCAGGTCCCCACAAAGATCTGTGAATGCAATCAAAAAAGTAAAAATGTCATTGTATTTTGTTTGGTTACTTATAGTAAAGGCTAGGGCTGCGTAGGGGTTAAGGTTGTCATGTTGGGATAGAGTTTTCCCCATAGAAATGAATGGAGAGTCCCCACAAAGATATAATTACAAACCTGTGTGCGCACACACACACACACACTGTGTAGCTCTAAATATGTATATTAATTGCCTAAACCAATAGGAGTATCATGCAGCTATGCATGCTTATTCCAGATCTGGCTTTATATTATATATTTATACTTCATGAATTCAACATAGACATCCTTTTTTAACTCGTCTGTCCAGAATGTACTTTCTCTGTCATAACCCATAAGCTTATCACTCAGTAGCCTCCAGGCAGATGCCATCCGTATGATCATACCATCTGTTCTAAGGGAAAATAAAGAAGTCGTAAAGTTAGGTAAACTCCCAAGTTATAAAGTCAGGGAATGCGTCAACAGACAGTATTTAAGTGCAACAGTGCAACTGACTAGAGAATTTTATTTTATATTTTGTAATATTATATTTGTACTTAAACACCTGTCCTTGATATTCTTATATAATTATTATTATAAACACTTATGTTCTCCTTCTGTCATTAGTATTTAAATTCCTTTGAAAGTATTTTATATGCCTTGGTTGAAAGAATGTACAACACTTTTGAATTAACTAACAGATTCAGTAAGCAGTTTCCTTATATTTCCAGTGAGTAAAATATAACCAGCAAATATACCATGGTTTGCATAAAGATTTCTTAATGTTATACTTCTTTGTTAGGATTGCTCCCTGTCCTGCCTCCTTCAGAATGTGAGTTCCCTGTTTGGCCAGCCTCCCATTTGTTCTTAGCGCCTAGTGGATTCTCTTGTTCCCCTGGATACTGTTTACCTTAATGGGCTAAGCAGGTGGCTGTACTATCAAGACTCCACTTTTGTTGCGGGTTCGACTATGTTTAGTAATTTACATTTATGGTTCTTGGTTTATTTGTGTGTTGGTGTATATCTGTATGGTTCCTTTTTTTGTTCCTCGTTGATCTTTCAGTTTGTAGTAATCTTAATAACCCTTGTCTCTCCTAGTGTTTGATCCATTGTTCTCTTATTGCCCACACACGTTCCTCTGTTTTTAGTGATTGTTCATTACCCCAACCTGTCTCATTTCAAAACTAATTATCTGTGTATATAAATTCTTATCCATGCTTCAGTCCTTCAGTCGGTCATTGAGTGTGTACTGTACGTGCTAATTGCTGTCTGCCTCTGCTTCCTTTGTGTGTTGTTACATTGTTTCCTCCATTTTCCCCATTGATGTACAGTTAATTTTTGGTTGTCTACCTGCTTGTTTTGACCCCTTGTGGTTCCTTTGTTTTGTAGTTTCCTGTGGCTTTCACTTTTGTTTAGTTTTCTTTGTCTGAGAGCCACAAGATGGATCGTCTTTCCACCATGCCATGAATTATCTATATTTCTGGTCAGATTGTCACGTGAGTCTTAAAACTAGTTAAATTAATGCAAATTAAACAAATAATGCAAAAACATTATCCTTGTTCCTTTATTTGTTGTGGAAAATGACCCTGTGTTACAGTATATATTTGAGTGTGACCTTTGCTGTCAGTAGAAGTTCAGCATTTAACTTCAACTAAATGTTTCCAGTAACTGTTGATTAGTCCTGCATACTTAGAGGAATTTTAGCTCATTCCTTCTTACTGAACATCAGATCACGGATGCTGGTAGACTTCCTCAAATGAGCTGCTCACTTAAGGCTGTGAAATTTTCATACTGTTGCAGCCCTACTTCTCCCATCGAAAACCTTGTTGTTGAAATTTATTTATTGAAAAATTTACATCTATTTGTTTGTCCATAGTGAGAAACTGAGAGCATGGACCCTGTCCCAGGAAGCATGGGTCACATGGCAGCTGATATCCCCAATGGGACGCCATCCATCACAAAGCATGCAGGTGGACACACAATCACAGTGGAAGATTTGAAACACCCGTTCACATAACAGCATGTCCTTGGACTGCGGGAGTAAAATGGAGTACCAAAAGGAAATGATACCCTTGACAACAGAGAAGGATTGGCAGACGTCACAGACACAGACTATAAAGGTGTGAGGCCATACATTTTGCTATAAACAAAAATATGGTTTTGTTTAGGTTTATACTTTTAAATTTTGTTGGTCATTTGAACATTTGATTATTAATATTACAGTCATTTTAAAGGTTCTCTGAAATCATGTTCTTATTGCTCACCGACGCATTCATGACATGTGAATTTGCCCAGAAAAACTTCCCAAGATAAGGTTCTTGTTTTATTTTAACTAGTTGATGCAACTTGACTTGAAAATATGTATTACAGTTGTTGCATGTGCAGGTAAATTGCTGTCAAGAGTTCTCTCAATGTTTTTTTTTAAAAAAAGTAATATTATTTCTCATAGTGAACATGGCCAGTTTGTGCATAATGCATAATGAATTTCATGCTTGTCCAAGTCATTAAATTCTGCTATATTCCTTCCTCCTGCCTCTGCAGAATCCTCCCACAGGGTTAAGAGTGAATAACAGAAGTGATTACACGACCTGCATCATTTATTTTTTTTTCCCAATTTCAGCCTCTGATGTTATCTATAAATATTGATGGTTTCACAGTTATGCTAAGTTTACAGTTATAGCTCTGATACACATAGTTTTATATTCATAAGTGATATTTAGCCCCAGGTTACGTACGAGATCTGTCCCTTAAGTCTGTCTTTAAGTCAGATTTGTAGGTAAGTCAGAACAATAATAATGCAGTACATAATAATAGTAGAAGTAGTAGTAATAATAATAATATAGTACTATACTGTAGCTTGAACTGACA